ACAATCGAAGACACATGTCCAGTTGAAGAAGATCATCCTGCGAAACGCGCACGTTTTGAGCCACCACGAGAGCCAAAACGGAAAGCCGAACCCGAGGAGACAGTGAAGACTCCACTTCACGGACAACCTTGGGACGAAACTTTTCAATGGCTGCAATCTAATTTGCCGAAATCAGGATCAGTCGATGTCTCTCCAAGCAGTTGGCCAGGAAGTTTCCTTGTTGAACATGTTGAACATTGTGGATTTCATGTGAAGCAGATACTCGCAGGAAAAGGCATGGACAAATATCTAGTAGGTCAATCCACGAATCCAATACGGAAAACCATTTGCCAATGTAGGAGGACAAAAGAAATTTTCGACTTGGGTGAAGAACAATGGACAAAACTGACATTACGGCAACAAAGAAGGAATGCTATGCCTAGTCATATCATGGTCTGTTTGTTCGGAAGTCCTGATGAATCGAAAGAGCCAGCAAAAGCCAGCGAGGAGAGGCAGTCCGAACCCGTTCGATCCGAACAAATGCCAGAGTCCAAAGCTGTCGAGCCGAGTTCCGAGCAGATCAGCCAGAGAGCTGATGAAATTCGACTAGGAGAAATGGAAGACAAGATGACCTTTGTCCCAGCTTGGTCACCACAGTCTTCGAACAATTCAGGTCCGAAGTTTCATGAACTCAGCAAGTTCCAGCAATCCCTAATCCAGAGAATGCACAACAATTTAGGTCATCCAACAGCCGAGAACTTAGCAAGCCACCTGCGAAGACTTCGTTTCTTCCAAGAACTTGTAGATGGAGCGAGTGAATACTTATGCCAATCATGTTCAGAGAGAGTTGGACCCAAACTGACAACCCCAGGAAAATTGAAAGAACCCAAGGACTTCAATGAAGTGATTACATTAGATGGATTCGAATGGAGAAGCAATTCGGGAACCAAATATTATGTAATACACATCTTTGATGAAGCCACCCATTTTCACTTGGGAAGAAGGTGTCAACGGGGAACTGAAGAAGCAGAGAGGGTAGTTAATGAAACATGGATGAACTGGGCAGGACCACCTGAAGTGATTGTTCATGACCTTGCAGGAGAGTTCGTGAGCCAACAGTGGAAGAACATGCTACAGCAAAACAGCATTCGAGCCGTGACAACAGCCGCACCCTGGCAAAGGGGGAGGATTGAAAGACATGGGGGGACAATAAAAGAGATGCTAAGTCGAATAGACCACCACATTCCAATAAAGACAGACAAAGAGTTCGACTATGCATTGAACCAATGTTTCCAAGCCAAAAATAGTATGAGTGTAGCCAAAGGGTTTAGTCCAGAACAAGCCGTTTTGGGAAAAGCCAGCCGAGTCCCGGGATCCATATGTGACGATGAAACAACAATCTCTCATTCGCTCGTAGAAGGGGAATCAACAGAAGCTGAAGTCTTCCAGCGAAAAATGCAAATTCGAGCAGAGGCAAGAAAAGCACTTGTAGATGCCGATAATAGTCAAGCAATTCGTAGGGCAATATTGAGACAATCCCGCGGAAGAGAACACGACTGGAAGTGTGGGGAACTTTGTATGGTTTGGGACAAAAGAAAAGCACCAAATATCTTGGAAAAAGGAAGATGGGTAGGACCTTGCCAAGTAGTGATGCATGAGACTCGGACCATAGTTTGGGTAACCCACCTAAACAGATTGCTAAGAGTTGCTCGAGAGAACATGCGATCCGTCTCATTGAGAGAATTTCAAAGTCACCACGGATTCCAGCAAGTCGGCGATTCGAAGAGACTGAAAGAGATGGCTGAACAATTGGAAAACCAACTCAGAGAGAGGAGTGGAATGTTCCAATATTCCGATCAAGTAGAAAACATGTCATATGAGCCATCAGAAGCAGCACCTTCGAATGAAGACCAAACCAGGTCAGCCCAGCCAGAGGAAGAGCCTCATCGACGCAATTCGAACGCAAAGAATAGCATAGAGTATCCACCGGGATTATATGTAAGCCAGATCCCAGTGATAGATCCGAATGCAGATGAGGAGCTTGAAGGCCAACCAGAAACAAACGATCCTGTAGAGCCAATAGAGCCAACAAATCCATCCAAATCGATTGGGGATTCAATGGTGGTTAATGCATGCATTGTAGAAGGGGTAAACGACAGAGGGGAGGCCGTCTATGACCAGGGAACTCTATGGAGTGAAGAGTCATGCCAGATAGCCGAAGCACAGGTCTGTAGTTTCGAATTCGTTGTTCCAGTGAAAGCATTGGAGAAGTTTTGTAGGAACCCCTGTTACCATGCAGAAGCCTTGAATAGAGCAGCAAAGAAAAAGCAATTTGATGAAGCCAAGAAACGAGAGTTGAAATGTTGGATAGAAACAGAGACGGTTGAGCCACTCCTAAGGAATAAGATTCACCCGAGTAGGATAATGTCTTCAAAATGGGTACTGACATGGAAGGAGGACCACAGCTCCCCTTCAGGCCGCAAACCGAAGGCTCGCCTTGTCATTCGGGGCTTCCAAGACCCGGAGGTAGGAATAGTGTCAACCGAGAGTCCTACATTGTCTCGTGATGGCCGAATGATGATAATGCAAACAGTGAGTTCGCTTCACTGGCGGATTCAATCGTTCGACATTAAAACGGCTTTCTTGCGAGGCAAGTCAGATGAACGAATATTAGCCATGCATCCTGTTCCAGAATTCCAAGAATTGTTGGGTTTGAATAGTGAACAGGTTCTCTTACTGAAAGGCAATGCTTACGGTAGGGTGGATGCACCATTGCTATTCTACAAAGAGTTCCGGAAAAGGTTAGAAGAAGTAGGATTCGAAGCACATCCACTGGACAATTGCCTGTTCTTGTTGAGGGACCCCTATGATTCGACAAAGCTGGATGGAATCCTGGGAACACATGTAGACGACGGGATAGGCGGGGGCAATCAAAGATTTGATAAAGCCCTAGAGCAATTGCAGAAGAAGCTCCCGTTCGGAAACCAAGAATACAAACGCTTCAAGTTCACCGGACTGACAATAGAACAAAGAGATGATTACTCAATCAAAATAGGACAAGAAGATTATGTACATCAAATAGAAGCAATAGATGTTGCAAAGATCAGAAGAAAAGAAACGGAATCACCTGTATCGAACCATGAGCAACACCAGCTTCGTGCTCTATGTGGAAGCCTTCAGTATGCAGCAGTGCATTCGCGTCCAGATATAATGGCAAAGGTATCTTTTCTGCAAAAGCGGGTTTGTGATGCAAAGATCAAAGATCTACTAGAAGCAAACAAGATCCTTAGGGAAGCAAAAGACACAGCCACAACATCCGTGTTGGTGCAACCAATTCCAATGAGAGATATAACTTTTGCCAGCTTTGGAGACGCAAGTTTTGCATCGGAGCAGCAATTGAAAGCACAGCAGGGAGTTTTCATAGCAGCATGTACGAAAGAACTTGGAGAAAACAAAATATCAAGCATATCCCCATTAGCATGGCACTCCAAGCAAATAAGTAGAGTTGTTCGATCGACCCTAAGTGCTGAAGCCTATGCAATGTCCTCTTCATTAGATAAGTTGACCTGGCTTAGATGCATGTGGGCAGTAATCAAGGACGGAAGCTTCAAGTGGCAGACACCCGAGAAGTCACTAAAGAATGAGACTAAGGCTCTACTCATCACAGACTGCAAGAGTTTTTATGACTTGGTGAACAAAATGGCGACTCCCAACTGTCAGGAGTGGAGAACGACCATAGAGGTGATGCTTATAAAACAGCAGACCCAAGACAACACCGAGTGTAGATGGATATCGACAGCCATTATGCTTGCAGACTGTCTAACAAAGCCTATGGACTCATCCTTTTTACGACGGGTGCTCACTCTTGGAAAATTTAGAATCTATGATGATGACAGTGCCCTCAAGGAGAACCCGAATCGAAAGTTTAGCTCACGATGGATCGAATCTTTTGCTGAACCGTGCAATTCGAAAAAGAAAATAGAGTCAATGTGAATCAATCCAGTTGAGCACCAAACCTTCGAATGGTTGTTCGATCGACGATGTCATCCAACGCAAAACGCGTTGGCTCAAGGCCGACAGGGACAGGACAAGCACCGAGAAAAGCGGTGCGACGGCAGGGTGGCGGACCACCTTTGGTTTGGATAGGGATAGGGCCCCCTTAGGTTAGATAGATTTGGTTGACGGGCGAGGAAGCTACCTTTGTGGCTGATAGCCACATATATTTATGTATGTATACACACATACAAATGCACATACACATATACACATGTATGGAGTGTTTGGGGAGGCTTTTCATCCACGGTGCCGACTCCGATCTCTGGACCTCCGCCGAGCGTCGCTTGCGACTCTTCTTGCTCCCGAGCACCTGCCCAAAGTCCGCCGAGCGCCCAGCGCCGCCGACGCTCACCTCAGTGCAGGGCGCAAAGCACACTTCGAGGATCGCCTGGAACGTGGAAAGGCATAGATTCCAAATCCACAAGGCTGTGAAGAAACCAGAGTTTTCGGAAAAATGTACATTAAGCTTATGTGTGTTGTTCCTACAGGCTCTTTGCGTGCATGTGGGCGGTCTACCGCGCATCACTTCTCTATTGGTGGGTGTCGATCTTGAGCATCTACCAGCATAGCCAGAAGCTCATCCCCTGGCTCTTCACAAGCAAAGCCAAGGAGCTAGGTCAGCCCCTGCAGTTGACATATCTTCGTAAGTCTGGCTCTGCACATGTCCTCCACTGGCCTTCTTGAGGTTCTTGATCAATTTGGTCAATCCCCGTCATCGAGAAGAACATCGCCCTGTTGAAAAAGAAGCCATCCAGAGTCGTTTCGACCGCATCCCATGTTGCTACCCCTCGTGGCGGTTAACGTATCAATGTAGCAAGCACTCCACAAGGAGGAAAGAGGACTTTCCTCCAACAGGCGCAGATGTTGTGTTGAGTTCGGGTCGGGGAAGTGTAGCTAGATTCTTGGAATCAACAAGACCTCTGCAAACGGGATTTAGCTGCCAAGCAGCTAAGACCTTCGGTGCATCAGCACCTGCTTGCTCTAGGGCGACCGACCTCATCACAAACATGAGGCCAGTGAGGGACCTGCGACAACCTGTCAGGGTTCGAAGAAGAACAACCTCCCCTCCTCTGTGATTTTAACAACCCATGTTTGTGACCCGTTCTCCAAACTCCACTCAAACACAACATCCACCATCCAAACGTCGGGTCAAACCCGGCCCTGGGGGCCCCATCCCATCCTTCGGTGTCATCGGAGCCTCGGCCCCTGGGTTCAGGGTCTCCGGGGAAGGCACGCGCCCATGTCTTTCGTGGAGGAGCTTTTTGTTTCAGAACTCCTGGAAGTTGTTTCAACTTAACTAGTTCTTCCAGCCCAAGAAGGCTAAGTGTCAGAATGAAGAGCATCATCACTCCTCTGTGCTGAATGAGTAGGTCTCCGGGGAAACACAATGCCCACTTGAGTTTTGTGTGGTTCATGAAACACTGGACTAAGTTGACTCCATTTCAGAAGCCCGAGGTTTCCAAACCGCTCTTCCTTCCCCGGAGAGCAACTCTCATGGCCGAGCGGCAAGGCTGACTGCCTTGCGAAAGAACACACGCGCATGGATTGGCTGGTTGGTTGGGCGCACGGAGTGTTTGGGCTCGCTGTGTGGGGGAGAGAGGGTGTGGGGGAGAGAGGGAGTTGTAAAGAGAACCGACGAATTGGGTTAGAGTGGTTTCAAATGGCACAAAACCCAAGAGGTGTGTTTTTGCAATCTACTCTAAAACCACTGGACATGACAATCCCCCGCTGCTTGGAGCACAAGTCGACAGCCTTCCTAGCCCAGCGCAATCCGAAGATCTTCATACTGGTGCTGCATCAGTATCACTGGTGCAACTCACTACATCCCAGTGGCCCCGTTTGGACGAAGCAAGAGCCATCTTGTGTTTCTCTATGAAGGCAGATCATAAGAAAGCCAACCTGCCCAACACAATCCACACACTGGCGCTCAACGAGAAGCCATACCCCAAACATATGCCCACATGCTATCTAAAGCATCCACTAGAGACCAGTTTCCTTTGCAAGGGGACTATCTCCCACTTAACTTAAGCCGGTCGGAGTATAAACCATTATAAACCAATGCGTATGTGAAAAACACACCACTCTGATTGTTTGATGTCCCGCAGGACCTACAACGGGACGGTTTGCAAGAACGTTTCTGGGACATCCCTGCTTTCAGATTGAAGGGTCATATGGTAAATCCATGTAAAGCATATATCAACTCAACACTTCACGTTGAACCCTAGATGTGTTTCGGTCCCTGCTGGAAATGCGATTCACCCTGCGTGACCGCCGGTGGGTGGCCCTCAAGAATCCCAGACTTGCGCTTCTGGTGACTGGTAGCAAGGCCAGGAGCGCCCCGTTCGTCGCTTCCGATCGCTCCGTTCGTAGCGATGCCCTTTGATACGTTCGTAGGTTCTTGTTCCTAGTAGCCATGCCCTTGTTACTAGTAGCTTCTTGCTCCCAGTAGTAAGGCCAGGAGCCCCTAGTAGCTTCTTGCTACTAGTAGCGATGCACTTGTTCCTAATAGCTTGTTGTGACGTTCGCAGCCGTCCCAAGGCGCCACCCAAAAACCAGCGGCTTCGCTCTTCAGTCCACGCCCAGCGGCGGTCGCAAGATGCCGCGGATCGTATCCAGGTTCCTCACGTGCGTCGGCACCGGGTGTGTGTCGGTCACGTGTCCGAGCTGAAAGAGCCGGGTGCACCGGGTTCACCGTGTTGTTGAAGGAAGAATGGAATCCATCTGGAAACCTGTTTGGGTAGTCGTATGGATGTTCCACGAGCTGGAAATCAGGTCTGACCACTTGTGGGGAATGCCTCACAGGGCATGCACTTGACGGTTCCGGTCGCATCGCGATGCTCCGCTCGGTCGCCATCCCAGCGGCTGCAAGCCGTCCACCTTGGGCTCCACCGAGAAAAGGATCAAATGCGTCGTCCGCGCCACCGCCTGCGCGATCCGCGATCCGTCGGCGCGACACCGCGAGGTGACCAAAACCAGTTCAAGCTAGAAGCGATGACATTCGTCTTTAAGAAAAAGGCCATTAAAGAAATTGAAACTACTAGCGGCCTCCAACCTAGACTTGCATGTGGACATCACATCTTAGGTGTCAAGCTGTTTCTTGATTGCCTGCGGGCACCAGGAAAGGGTCCCAACTGGGCCCTCAACATCCATCCAGGGGACCATAGACTGGGGCAAGTTCGGAGTCCTGCGAGACCATTGGAGCACGAGGTGCATCGGTGCAAGACCGGACCTCGGGGTCTTATGAAGTGCTAAAATATAGCTTTTTGTTACTACTAGTAAGGCACCTGTTACTACTAGCGTGGCAGTTGTTACTAGTAGTAACCTTAAAATATTATTCATCCCGCCTTCCCAAAGGCCGATCGTTCGCATCTGACAGATTTCTCCATTCACTCAGAGAACGAACGGCACCCCACACTTCGGATCTTCTACCAGAACGAACTGCAGCTACCTCTCCACCTCTCCACCGGCGTTCCCCACGCGGCACCCACGCGGCGACACGTGTCGGTCGACCGCGCCTTTCTCCAGTCAATGGAGTTGAAGCGGTAGTCCGGCACATAGCCCACCACAGCGATGGCACACACGCGCTGGACGAGTGCCATCTGAGGCGCGTGGGCGTGTCGCCGCCGCCGGTGCCCGGGAGGCGGAACGGTGCGGCGCAGCCCAACGAGGTTCTGAGATGCCTCCTCTATAGAGTTCTCGTGCCTCCTTCCATCTTGAGGAGCTCAATTGCAAGGGGGCTTCTATTCCGACTTGGATGTATTTTGTTGACCTGTGCCAACCGGAGGAACAAGGCTTAAGCTATCCTGACTGATCTGGCTTGAGCTTTAGGGTCTTTTGTCTCTCCGACTTCCCATGAACTTCAACTAGCACAGCCATTCCTATTGGTTGGGGGAATTGAATTTGGGCCCCTGGCTCCCTCAGTCGCACCCTCCTGAACACCAGCCAGTGAACCCCTTCCCATCCTTCCCACCCTTCGCCATGCCGAGCGGCCAGCGCCGCCGTTCGCAGGACACCCGCCATGATGCGCAGGCGTCGGATGCGAAGGTCTGGGGGACCCGGGCGTTGAGAGGGCTGTGGACGTTGACGTCCACACAGGATGTCAGTGACTGACTGCCTAGCTAGGCTACAGCACCCTGAATGTGGGAGGCTTGGCGGAAAACCAGGGGATGAAGATCAACTTGTGGAACACTCCTGGGTTGACGCCATGACTTCCAAACAGCACCTCCTGAACTCCCTATGTCGAGGCTGCCCGGTGTGGCGACTCCAATCACCTTCACCTCACCTCCACTTATCTGCATCAGGGGAGGCAAGGCTTCCTATCTCATCCACCCTGCTCCAACATCGGATGGGACTCGAAAGCCCTCGCTGCAAACACAGCTTTCCCGACCGGTAGGAAAGAGGGTGATCCACATCTTCCACCGACCTAGGGCCTTGGAGTGTGCGCGGCACTCTGTGTCTAGGCCACCACGGAGCAACGGCAACGGTCCACCGCCCGAACCCGGAGACTGGGAAGACCCCAATGAGCCTTTTCAGGAAAGGACCTGACCATCCAGGACGCCAAACCCTCACAACGACTGGCCACACCAAAAGCTTCACTTCAGCGACTGAAAGGCTCCGAAAGGCTCTGAAAACCGCACGGGCAAAAGAAGGGGCCGTCTCGCCCCTCTCTGGGGGGAGTCCTGGAAAGCTTGGAGGAAGGAGCTTCGCCCCACTCAAAATCCCAGTGACCGGCGGAGGTATTGAAAGCAAACATGTTACAGTAGTTTAAACTAGGCCCACTAGGCATTTGGAAACTGCAGGCTTTGGCCATGCATCCCGCAACGTGAACAAACCTCCAGCAGAATGGACTCAACATCTCTTACGGCTTGCCACTGGCAGAAAACGTTGTTTTGCTGGTTTTCTTGGATTTCCTCGTCGGATTCTGAGCCTGGAGTCCATTCCTCAGCCCCTCGATGCCCCACAAAACCCCGCGTTCAGCGCAGTGTTTTAGTCGAAAAGGGTTTCGAGGCGGGCTGCGATGGAGTTCTCACCACTTTGGATGGCTTGACCTGAGCGAAATCTCGGCTCCCACCGCTGGTGTGGTTGGGCCGGAGCTTCCATTGTCGGAGTCATGGCTACAAGATCACAAGCAGGGTCTAAACATGTTGGTTCTTCAATGGGCGTGATCGACCTGGAAGGTGATTTGATCTGGGGATCGACCTGGAACGTCCGTGCCATGAGTTGGACTCCTTTGCATGGACTCCTTCGTGTGGGCTGAGTCCTGAAGGCCTATTGTGGTGCAGGACAGCTAGACATATGATACCAGGACCCTCCAAGGGGTGTCCAATGGACTACTCCACACTACCTATAGGCTTCCATTGGGCACCCCTTAGAGGGTCCAGGTAGCATATTACTCATGAATCCCCAGAATTGTGTATGCGATATCCGTGGCACAGCTGAGCATGCCGGCCGGCCAGTGCAAGGCCTTCAAATTGCTGGTAGGCATCGGGCTCTTCCTCCAGAAGCTCCACCTGCTGTGCGGTGCTGTGTGTTGGTTTTCAACGTGGCAAAGCCGGGTGTATCCAACCGGGGCCAAGAATCAAGTGAAGGAGGGCCTGCAAAGGCCGGGCTTTGCCTCCCTGCAAGATTGTAGACCCATGAGTAAAACCCCGCTGTCTTACAGGTTTTTGGACGGGTCAGACTTGGGCTTCTAGTCTTCTTGTCATGATGATCTGCTCAGGTCTCTCTTCATCAGCCTTGCCCGGTCCCAAACAACAAGGCTTCTTCTCCGTCGCCGTTCTCCCTCAGCGACGGAAGCCATTTCGACCCAGCAGCGGCCCGAGCGGGGCACGAAGGTGATTCAAGAGCCGGGGCCACCCGTATCAAGCAACTTTCAAAAACTGGAACCTCTTAGCAGGCACGCTGCGTGGCATGGCTGGGGGCTCTGGGTCTGGACCCGCACCTGTATTTCTAGGTGTGGTGCATAGCAGTGACGGAGTCTGGGCCATCAAAAGCGTCAAATCAGCTGGGCAGGATTCGTTGGGATCACTGACCCTTCGTAAAAGCTGCCAATGCCAAGCCATGCCTTCCAACCGCTTCTTTGGGCCTTTCAACGCCAAGCCAAAAAACCGTAGGGCCACACACCGTCTACCGTAAACGCGGTGAACACCGAGGCCTCGAGCACCGACGAACACCGAGCGCCTCGACGTTTTGGATTTTCATGAAGAGCGGCAGTCGCAGATCCCGCTGCCGTCGAGGGAGCTTCAGTGGCTCACCAAACATCACGTGCCAAATGTACATCGCCAACCTGAAAAAGCACGGTCGGTCGTCGGTCTTTTGGACCGGTTGGGCTCGGCACGACTTGCGACCTGCGCTTCGTTCGTTAGGCACATCGGTGCCGGGCTCGTCACCGCAGCAAGATCCTCTATTAAAACGTTGGTGTCAGGGTGTGGTTTGGAATATGAAGGACATATGAAATCATATGAATTCACGGGATGTCTTCTTACCGCATGGATGCAATCTAGCACGCTACAAAATAAGTGGTTTGTCCTGGACCCTCCCAAAACCCTGGCCACATGGCCCTCTTCCGCCATCATCTTCCATTCCTCTTCCGCACGGAGCTGCGGCTCTGCGGCCACGGAGCTGTCCAGGTGTGCGGCCCAGCCTTTGAACGTTTCAATGGATGGGTTGAAAAAAGGGGTTGAACAAATGGTTTTTAAGGGACACATCATCATCATACACATCTGCATGGACACCAGGATTTGTTCACCTCGTAGATTTTCCTTCGGGAAAGCTTGGACTGGCTCAGTTGCCCCATAGACGTCCAGTTGGGCCCTCTTTTGACCCGACGGAAGTGCAGGAAGTGCCTGAAATGGGGGTTCACCTAGTCAGACCATTCTAGAAACAGCCAAGTCAGACTTCCAGGGTATGTTCCCAAACTTGCTTTGGCCCAGAAGAACGTCAGACTCACAAGACCGAGACGAACGTGATGAGAAAGCGGGTTGGGGCTGATGGGGGGCAGGTTTCGTGAGAGAACTGCCATGTCCATTTCTCCACAACCGAATAGACTAGATGAACTGCATAGACGATCTAACGAGGAACATCTTCAAGCCACTTTCTTGCAAGCAAGGAAGCAGTTCAATGAATCTGACCCGCTAGGAGTGTGCTCAATGCAACGGAACCTTCAAAAAAGGGAGCTGGGTGCCCTCACCAACTCCCCCACTGGGATTTCACAATCACCTCCCTTTCAAAGAAGGCCCTGCAACCACTCCCAAGCTTTTCACCAACCTCACTCTTCCAGGAACCCAAACATTGAATCCCCCAGCCACCTCCGCCCGACCACCCGACCACCTCCCGGTGGTTCCTTCCGCCCAGTGACACATCCGGCCCAAGCACCACGCCTCAGGCTTCACGAAGCCGGTTGAGTTAGCTGGCGGTTTTCACTCATCGACCCTTGTCACCATGAAGAAATGCTTGGAAAGCCCGCAGGAGCTGTCTTCCACCATGGCCCCCCCAAAAGCGCAGCGCACCAAGGTGGCGAAATGTGGAGCCACCAACCATGCGGCTTCTCTGGTCGAGACCTTTCACGGGTTCCACACCTGCTCCATGGACCCTTGGTGGTTCAAGAGCTTCCATGGACCTCGGAACCCACTCCCCCTCCGCCCCAGGTTCAAGACCCTTTGAGACCACTCCGTCGGTCCACGGCTCCAAGGCACGGCCCACGGGAAAGAGCCGGTGGTAGGACTCCTCGGAGCCACGACCCCTTCTGGGGGTGCGCGATAGACCTAGCGGAGCCTACGTGGCTGGTGGTTCCAATGTGGATCGGGTCATTGGAACAAACTCGACCTGTTTCTGCTTGGGACATTTCCAGGACTCCATTTTCTAGACACGAACGAAGAAATGAGACACAAACGACGACAGGTCTGGACTCCAGCGGTTTCGGTTCGAGCGCATTCCAGCCGACAAAGCCTATCCCAAAAGCTTTTGGAACCTCAAGGACTGGCAAACGAGCGAGAAACCAATAGCTGCAGTTTTCTTTCGGGTCTGCTGGAAGAACTCCCACGGAACACATGGACATCAACAAACGGGTTGCGAAGAACAGGTGGCAGGTCAAGCAGCCGATATTTTTCCGCGACGAACTTCACATCACATGATATATATATATATATCCCCAGTAAAATGTGCGCCCCCGTCATCTTCATCCAGCATTTCCTTCTCGAAGGCCATCGCTAGTAGGTTGGAGGCCACCGCTTCTAGGGTGGAATGAAGAAGCTACTAGTAACAAGGGCACCGCTACGAACGGAGCAAGGAGGCATTACTGGCACTACCAATAAGGAGCAACATATCTTGCCGTCCCTCAGATCTCGGATATCTCTTGCTCCGTCGAACCGCCCACGGTGTCAATGCCCAGGTGCGGCGGTCAAGCCGAAGTAGTCCCAGCCATTTTGGTAGAAGGCGCGTGGCCTTGCCGGGCGGCCGTCAGGGCATCAGGGCCGGGGCGTCAAAACGGCGGCCGATCTGGTTCCAACACTTGGGCGCTTTGATGGTGCCGATTCTGGAGCCATTCCTGCGGATTGGAGTTCTGGGCCACAAAGGGCCAAACACGCCGAACCGGTGGACC